CTATAAAATGTTTAGCCTCCTTTTTCCGTAATTGAAATCACACACACACACACACAGAGGGGGGGGAGAGACAGAGAGAGAGAGAGAGAGAGGGAGAGAGAGAGAGAGAGAGAGAGAGAGAGAGAGAGAGAAAGAGAAATACTACCTACCACCGCTTCAGTGTCTATAAAATTAATTTTATGCATGTCTTCTCAATTGAACATTTGGTATTGGCTAACTAAATGAATTGTCCTTTTCTCCCACTATGAGGATGCCTTTGTTGTCTATAGGTTTTGTTTTAATAATTTTGTATCATTGAGGTGTGCTGGGCATCCCTGTCCACTTTGCAATGTCTGTTGTGGTTGTTCTTCAGTTCATGCCTACGTTGTCATGGTGAGGGACTTTATGGGTTAGCTCCTGACATTCCTAGGAGACACAGTTTCACTCACTGCAATCTCCTTGATCTCTGTTCTAACAATCTTTCTGTCCCTCTTTCCACTATGTTTGTGGTGTCCATTGTGACTGGACTCCACAATGCTGTACTTTTGTTAGTTTGCTATTCTCTAATGGTCTCTGTCTGTTGGAAAAAGAAGTTTCCATGACGATACATTAGGACCCCAATTCTCTGTGGGTATAAGAATAATATTTGGAATGTAGTTAGTGATTATGCTCTCTTGGTAAATTGGCAATTACTGCTTCTACAGATTACTTTACTGTATCTACCCCTGGGTGGATGGCTAGGTTTCCTGGACCAGGTCTAATTCCCCCCTTCTTAAGCAAGGCTTAAGGATGATTAAGGATCTGCAGGATACCACTGATGTACCCTTGGTGTTTTCTTAACATGCTAGGCGTTGCCATAGCATGTGCCTACCCTGCATTCTCTTACAAGTGAAGTCCAGGTAGGCTCCGAGCCACTGAGAAGAATGCCCCAATGGTGATTTTATGTGTTTCCTCAAATACAGCTGTAGAAATTCTCAGCAGGCCATGCAGCTGCTTTAGACCTGAGGTAAACATGCAGATTTTACCAAGGTTTTGACTGAAGTATAACAGTGTCTTGCACATGAGCCCAGGCCATGTCATCATTGTTTTGCACACTTGGAATTCTTAAGTGGTGAGACCTTCTTCCCCAAATTCATCTTAATGATGCTTTTATTTCATAGAATGCATGGACATGCCCAAGATAAGTGCTACACTGTGTGGAGAGTGCAGGGATTCCAGAGTGGACTTTGTGTGGTTGGAGAAAAGGCTCAGCAGTTGTGGATAGTAGCTTCTCTTTCAGATGTCCTAGACTTTCATTTTGAGGGGGTTCCATTCATTTGTATTTCCAGTTAGAGAGCACAGATTTCTCCATTCTGGCTGGCATAGGCACCTAAGTATTCATGGTACATACAATATGTACTCAGGAACACATAAATCAATCAGTCCTTTTTGTTTGTCCATTTGTTTTTGTTGTTGTTGTTTTGTTTTGTTTTGTTTTGTTTAAGAGACAGGGTTTCACTGTCCACCCTGGCTATCCTGGAACTCAGTCTGCACACAGAGATCTGACTCCCTCTGGCTCCCATGTGCTGGGATTAAAGGCATGTACCAGCACCAACGTGGCCAATGAATATGCTTTCTTTTCTAATTGATTGGGCTTCCTACTTGAGTGGACGTGGTGAACAGAGTTTATGGAAGCAGTCAGAACATGCTAAGAAGCATTCATGTGTCAAGGAAATTTTGGACACTCTTGGAACTTTTCAGGTTTTGTATGTTTTGGAAAAAAGCTCCTTGTCTATGAAACTCAGGTGTAGGAAGATGGAAATAGTTCTATTATAAAGAAGCTTTTGCCTGCCAATAGTTCTGTTATGAAGAAACTTTTGCCTGCCAAAGGGGCAGCCTGATCAAGCAGTAAACAAATTTCCAGATGGTCCTGCTTTATAAATATCTCTAATTCAAGGATTCATCATCAAGGTCATTCTCAAAGCAGGAGTATTACAAAGTCCAGGCTTTGTAACAGGGAGGACTGTTGATAGGGTGACTAGCCTTATAGATGGAGAAAGCATGGCTGTGGGTTAGGGGAAGTAGGCTGTCTCTGCTACTTTGTAGGGCACTAAATCCTGTTCCAAAGGTCTCTTTTCCAGCACTACAGGTCATTAACCTCGTTATGGTATCAGGAAGAACAGTCTCATAATCCATTTTCATTGTGTTAGCATTGGTGCTTCAGTTATTTCCAACAGGAATCTGATTTTCTCTATACATCAGTTGTAGATGTGATGGAAAGTGAAGATATCCAATCTCAAGCTATACTAGTATCTGATGGTTTGAGTAAGAATGGCCCCAATAGGCTCATATATTGAAGTGCTTGATCCTCAGTAGCCAAATATATTTTGGGAGAATTAGACAGTGTAGCCTTTTTGGAGAAGGTATGGCCTTTGAAGTTTCCAATGACCTTGTCATGCCATTACCAGTTAGTTATCTGTCTGTCTGTCTGTCTCTGCCTATGGGTTGTGTGCCAAGTTCTATGCTCTCAGTACCTGTTGCAATACCATGCATGCATTCCTGCTGCTATGCACCCACAACTCTGGTCATAGACTTTAACTACCCTCTGAAACTTAGATATCCAGTAGGTCTTCTATAAGCTGCCTTAGTCATTGTGTCTTCATAACAGTAGAAAGTAACTATAACTAATACAACAGGAATGTTTTGCAACCAATTATTAGTGTTAACATTTATTAACTACACCCAAACTTTTCAAAAGGCTTGAGAAATACAGGCATCCCATAAGAAATTAGAGATATCATTGTATATTTGCAAAAACACGAGTATACCATCCTTGTTACCATAAATGGTCCTGAAAACTTTTTAATTATTAGGTGTAGTATCATTTAATTTTGTTGAATTTACTTCAGTCTTTCTTTTTTCCTTCTGTTTTTCTTCTTTTCTGAATGCCTGGCTGGCTACCTGTCAGGTTGTCTGTCTCTCTGTTTTAGAAAGTTCCCAATACACAACAGGACTAGACTGGAAGTCACTATGTAATCCTCCTACCTTAGCCTCCCTAGTGCTGCTTTTACAGGTTTGTGCTAATATGCACTGCCAGTCACTTCCCTTCTGAAGATTGGTTAGTGATTTCTGGTTGTTACTGTTTAAGATGCTGAAACCCTTCAATGAGCATTATTGTAATGATGCAACTACATAACTTAGGTAAAGGTTTTATAATTCAACTAGAATTTAGAGTCTGGTCATCTACTGTTTTCTTCACAATGACTCTGAAGAACTCCCTTGTGGGCTGTGAGGTTTCCTGTAAGTTCTCATAGGCAGGGGCGTCTCAGGAGACTCAAGGAAGCCTCAACCTGGCTATGTTGCCAAAGATGATCATAACCTTGACATTGTGATCCTGCAACTTCCACCAGGCTCCTTGGGAGTGCTTCCAAGCAGGATTTCCTTTGTGCTAGGGAACTCTCTACCAATGTCACCATATCCTTAACCCCATAATGTATTATATACCCTCTTCATGTGATGCTAACATCTTCATGATACAAGAGTGTAAACCAAATATTATTCTATTTGTGATTGTTTCCAAACTTGTTATTTTGTTCAGAATATCAAAAAATGGGAAACATCAAAAAAAGTAAAAAGAACACCAAATGACCAAGAAAGGAAATCTACCTCGGGAACCAGTGTGTGTACTGGGTGTTTTTATCTAATGTGAGAGGTTACCTGGCTTGCATGTTCCTAAGAAAACCATATAGTAAAAGTACTACATGGAGATGTTTACGCTGCAGGTCATAGAAGGGATGTAGTTTGTCTGGTTTCCTCTGAGATCATTTTCACACACATAGCCCTTATAACCAGTGATAGCTGTTAGACAGTTAATCACACAGATTCAATTTGCTTCCGTGTCTCTGAAAGACAGTCTATGACTGCATGAGACTCAGGCATAAATGGTGTCATTTGATACCTTGGATGATGTAGTGACCTGAGGAGTTCCACATAACCTGAGAATGATGTCATCCCTTGGTTTCTGTCACTATAGCAGCTCTTACCTGAAAAAAATGGCCTTATAAGATATATAGCTTCCTTATTGTTCAACATTTCTGTTCACATAAGTGTCATTGTGATCACCTCATCCTCCTTTGATAGTTTTAAGATTAGAGTCCACCAGTTCCTAAGTGTGTGCACAAATGTGTGTCCTGTATCCAAGGTGACTGAACTCAAAGTGCCATGCATGCATGGAAAGCACTCTACCACTGAATTTCATTCCTAGGCTACAGAATCCCAGAACATGGCTCTTTAGGGTGTAATCATATATCAACACATAATATCACCAATATGACAGAGTGAAGTTATTTATAGGGCAGACAATATTAAGAGCAATCTCACCATCAGCAAACTATACTAAACAAACAAATAGGAGACCAGAGGTGTTAGTCATAAGAAATGCTGAGTGTTGACATACCAAAGGCATTTAGAGATAATGCATGGAGACTTGAATTGATATAGTACTAGCACATATGTCCACTGTAGGGGATATGTATGGAAAAACCCTGTAATGTGTATGTATGCACATGTGCACATATGTAGAAATGTAGCATTTTCCATCATCTCTTTGCCACGTTGGGGCATGGACCTGCATTTCATCTTACTTATTTTGGTCCTAATCCTGATCACATTCTGCAGCATGAATTGCTGCTTTCTCCTGGATGTTGGGAGCTTACTTCCTTGCTGCAGGTAATTGGAAAGCAGGGTCAGAGGGTATGTGGAGGGATTTGGAGTGAGCAAGCCTGTGTTTGATCCCTCTCCCTTACAAGCCTAGAGACTGGTCTTTGGGCCCATGATACATACTTTTCCTGGCCTGCCAAATGTGTGCTTTTAACCCAGGTTGAGCTATAGCGCTGCTGCAAGTAGGGAATTAGCTACCCAAGTGATTGCACTTTATAGATGGTGAAGCCTTTTGTAGAGTGTGATGCCAGTATTCTTCAAGCTGAACAGGAAATGATGACAGTATCATAATAGCCATCCTCCTTCTGTCTTTCTCCTTCCAGTCGTCAAGCAGTGGTAATGCAAGGAGCCACATCGGCATCAATAACACCAGTCGAGAAAGTATGCCTGAGAACAGCTTAAACCAGAACATGGCTGAACTTAACTCCAATATCCCCGAGTTCTCCCAGGAGGACTATGCAGTGTGCCAAGATCAAGGTCCTTACTCCCATATTAACCAGATCTTGAAGGAGGCTCATTTCTACAGCCTACAGCAGAGAGGACAATCTCCGATATGATGACCTAGGTGCTCCTCATCCCTTGTTTATAAAAATCAATGGCATTCACTCAAAGCAGTCTTGGCTTTTGTCTGTATTTTCATTAAGAGGTCAATTGACATTTGTACTCTTTCACTGTTTTGCTCCAACACTTTGATTCTAAGCGTCTTTCATGACACTTTGGTATGTTTTCTGTCAAGTCTGGTGTCCAATTCATGTTAAGTAGCAACAGGAGGACTTCTCCTGATATTGAACGGCTTATTTGTCCAATATGGGTTGGGTTCCAAGTCCCTCTTTCAGGATCTCCATGTTTAATGTTGTTTTAAAATGTGACTCCTCCTTCTGAAAGGCTAAGTGGCCTGGTAAAGTGTGTGGTTTACATTAAAACATGAAAGAACAAATAACATCAACAAATAAGCCAACACTAAACTGGTTTTAGCATTGGGGAGGAAGGAGAATGTGACTTGTTCTTATTGTGATATGAATGGCATGGATGCTCCTCACAAGGGCGATGCTGCTTAGAAATCGCTCTCTACCTATAATGGGGACAATGTCAGCCCATGTAGTTATTAAAATTAAGGATGTGTGTAGTAACTGCACTCTTTGCATTCCAAGGGAGAAGTGTTCTTCCTTTAATGTCACTGTGTGTGCCCTTCTGACCTATGGAATGCACTGGTAATTCTGTCAGTGAAGTGAATAGCAATGTTGTGGCTTAAGTGCAAAATCTAGATATGAACAGCTTATGTGTTCCTTACAGTTCCATTTGTTATGTCTAATGTTGATAAAGTCTAAGCTACTGGACCTCATATCTGACTTGAGGAATATTGTAAAGCTGGGTGGGATGACTATTCCTTACATAACATGCCTTTCATGGGGAAGAGGGCATCTCACACCATCACATGACACAGATGTTTGAGGAGGGGTGGGCCAGAGAAACAGCCTGCCATGCTTATGGCACACCCCAGTCATGGTAAACCTATCAGCACAATTTCTGTGGCTTGTGATGAATGAAGTGAGGTCCCATTAGATGTAACAGGCAATGCCATTAGTGATGGTTCTGTTTCTGTTGTTAATCATATGGTGCATCTAACCCAACCTATGCACGGACTCACCTCATTAATGCTCATATTTTCTCACTTACCATGGTGGTGACCAAGAAATCAGGAGGCAGTATACCATCTTCTCTGGAGCTGTGAGGGCTACAACTTGTTTTAACCTTTAACAGGAAGAACCTTGACATGTTTGATAATAAGCTCTATCAAGGGAACTACATGCCTTGCAAAGGATATTTTGTAATGGCTAGTGTTCCCAAAATTGGAGAAGCAAGTCTTCAGGAGAAGATGTTAGTCTTTTTGGCAGGTGACAGTGAACAGATACTTGGTTAACATTTTCTTTGGACGTGTAAAGCAACAAATCAAATATTAAAGAGGAGAAGGTATCTCAGGCCTGATAGTGCACTCATACAACACAATTCAGGAACACCTAAGCAGAATACAGCAAGGTGAAATCTATGGCAGACATCTTACTATGTATACAAACTACTCAGGCATACAGGTGAGATATCTTGGGGGATAAAGGTGCTTTTAACCTACCCTGACAACCCGAGTATGGTTCCTGGAAGTCATGTGACAACAAGGAGAGACTGGATTTCATTAAATAGTCTCCTGCCCTCTTGAAAAGCAAACACACACACACACACACACACACACACACACACACACACACACACACACACACACACTGTCCTTCTGTCTCTCCCTTCTGTCTCTCTCCCCTCTCTTCACATTTGACCAGGGCCAGCTCAGAATTCTCTATGTAGACCAGACTGCCATGGAACACAAGGAGGTCAGCTTGCCTCTGCCTCCTGTATCCTAGGATTGACTTCTTGGGCTATCATGTCTAGCCTTCCTTAAAAACTTTTTTTTAAAATTTGTTTTTAAAGTCAGGCTCTTACCATATGATCAAGCATGAACTGGAATCACTGTGTACCTCCTGCTTCTTCATCAGTCTGAATCTTCCTTATCCTAATAAATATATTGTGTCATCCCCTTACTGCCTTTTGGAAGTTATTTAAGTATTTATCACCAGCCTTATTCCTAACAGATCCAAGTCTTTAATGTAAAATGTAACGTCACCTTCCACAAGTGTCGCACTTGCAGCATATAAGCATTTTTCTAAGACCAGCGGGTGATAAAAGGGATCCTTTTCCAGATGAATCAAGTACCTAGAACAAGGAAAGAATGTTTTGCCTTGGGTGATATGGGCTTGTGTTTAGGAAATAAAGACTTAACTGACCTCTATGAACAACACCTACCGTTGGCTACAACCCCAGTGAGTTCCTCCCAACACTCCTTGGGACAAGTTGAGTGAGCTTCACAAGACCTATGTAGGAAGGGAAACAGGCAGCAAGTCGTCCTCCTGCCCAATTAGATATTGAAGTAAGTGACAGGAGTCCATGAGCAGCTGAAGTCACACAACTAGAGAGAAAGAACAGCAGAGTTGAAGAATAGGTTTCTTCAACTTAGTACAAGGTCCCTTTCTTCTAATGCATTTGGCTATTTTAGGCAAAGCTGGGTTTATTATAGAACCTTCAGCTGGACACACCCACCCATTCCATTGTGCAAGTATACAGTATTTTAGCCTAGTGATGCTATCATAGGCATATTCAGTGGACCAGAAAGATGGAGGAACAGTCTCTTTCCTCCATTCTTCCTCCTTGCTTCTCTGGCATGCTCACCCACCTCTCTCACATACTGGTTCCCTCCCTGTCCTTCAGTTTTTCTTTCTCTCTGACCCTCCCTTTCTCCCCGGCTTTACTCCCTCCATCTCCAAATCAAGAATGTTGACCCAAACTGACGTTCACCTCATGGTTTTCCATACATAGCTACTACTTGATGCATGGGGCCTTTCAGCATCTCTAGCTACCTTGGCCTTGTTATTCGTGGCCAAGGACAAGAGAGATACAATGGCTCACATTAAATAAGGAGGAATTTGAGGTGCACACTGTGTGGTAGCCATGTTTGTACCTGTTGAATGAACACGGGCAAGTCCTCATGAGCAGAGGAGGTGCTTTTATGTTCCCTTGATGGATGTCATATCACCTCCATAATTGTGAAGTTCCTTCATTGGGCCACTGGCAGGCGGTACTGGTTTCACTTTGTGATTTTTGACTTATGAAGACTGACAGTCACCTGCATGATATCACAACCCTTGTGCTGTCCTTCCTTTTGCTTGCAAGTGTTCCCTGCTGCAGATTGACATAATCATTAGATCATTTCCCATAATCATTAGATCATTTCCCCTGGGGAATCCGTTTCCGTGTACTGCACCACAACACAGAACAGACTGAAGCAAAGGTCACTTTGAGCTCTCCATCAAACCCTAACTGTTGAAGGATGTTCTGAACTCTTGTGCCATTCTTGACATCATCATTTTTCCCATGTCGTGTGAGGACTTGTGTCCCTACCAAGTGAGGCAGATTTTTGGAGCTGACTCTGATAATTGACTGTTATCTCATCTTCTGTTTTTGGGAACCAATTGTTGGGGATTCTGGCCAGGATGATTTCTGAAAAAATAAATGGTTAATCTTATGTGCCAAGACTAGAGAGGACAAAGTGAGCATTTTTCACAAGATGGAGTGCTCACTATGTGTTTCTTTTTTTTTTCTAAATTTATTCAAGTAAGAAAGTTTGATAGGTACCAGGTACATAAACATGACATACTAACTTAACCTTTGTGAAAGGTCCAATACTGCCATAATCCTGACTGTCTGGCCTTTACTACAGGTGTGGCCACTGTATTTTTATGCACCGAGATTTTCTGTTACAGCCAAATAATTTAGTTGACAGTTTTCAAGTCACCATGGGGCACACAGACTAAATGAAGCTAAATAGGAAGCTTAATGGACTTCTGGGGGGGGGGAGAAATAGTACTATCCATTTCTCCTTGTGGAAGAGGAAACTTCTATACATCCTTGCCTCCAAATAGAAATGTAAAAAACAAGCCTCCTGGTGGAACTCTTTAATCCCAGCTAGCTGGGAGCCAGAGGCAGGAGGATCACAGGTTCTAGAGGCAGAACTACAGACTGAGTTCAAGCATAGCCTGCCTGTATAGGGTCAAAAGACATTGTTTAAAAAGAAAATTTCAAAAGAGATGGCCCAGCGGAAGCATATGCCTAGTTGTACCAGGCCCTATGTTCAATAGCCTGTATTGACAAAAGTAAACATACACAAACAAATAAAGACACAGTAAAATGTCCATAAGTGGGATAGAAGATCCTCCCTATGGAGACATCTCACAGGAGCCAATGAAAGTGTGAAATCAACCTGGATCTTCTTTCCTGCTAGTGCAAATGTGAAAGGCATTCACCTAGCACATGGGGACAACATGCTGGTAAGTTACCAAATAGGGCTGAATGGATGCAATGCAGTCATAACTTTCATTGCCACTCTCTTTAACAAGGCTTGATCTGGAGGTATTGCTGTGACCCAGGACTGGGACATTAACTTCCTACAGGTCATCTTAAGCATAGTCAGCCTTGAGTCTCCTTTATGTTTGAGGTCCCTCATCGCTGATATTGACTTTCCACATCCTCGGTGAATTCTCAATTCTTTGTGACCTCAGGTGCATTTGCTTAAATGCTAACAGTCTTGGATTATCTGGCAGCATCCAGTCTTGAAAAGGATGGTGTTTACTTTGATACTGTTGTGGGGATGTGATGGTCCTTGTGTATGCTCTACAGCACAGATACATTATTAGATTTTTTTGCCTAATACTGCAGGACATTTTTTATGCAGATTTCTTGCATCTAGACATGTCTCAAAGACAGAGACTGATATTCCACAGTGAAGGCCTCCTTGGGCCTCATCAGAGAGAAGATGAATCAAAAAAGGCAGTAGTCCAGTTTAACTTCCAACTTACAACATAAACTGTAATTTCAAAAGGCAGTTGTCCATACAAGGTCTGAGGCTGGAACACTGCCTGAGGAGCCAACATTGGCAAATGGACCATGGAACATCCCCTTGATGCAGTCGGTGATAGGAGGCAATGAAGGTGTGGATGTAAAGAATTCACTAGAC